GATACGGTCTGCCCAGGTGACACTCATGTTCTCTCTGTGACTGTGTCCTTCGCCTGCAACTACATCTACACTCAAATCTATACCTGATCCTGTACACACATCTAACCTACACCCACACCTGCAACTGAATCTACACCTGGACCCACACCTACACCCACACCTGTATCTACACCTCTACACCCCATCCCCACCTATAGCCACACCCCCACCTACACCTGTACCTACACCCCCACCTGTATCTGCATCTATACTCACACCCACACGTGCAGCTGCACCCCTACTTAAACCCGCATCTGCACCTCCACCTGCTCTGACCTCCACCTGTACGTCACCTGGCAGCCACAGCCCCACCTCAGCTCAGTCAGACCTTAGTCCCTCTCAGCCCCCAGGATGCACAGGCTGAAATGAGGCAGCTTCTCAATGCCACGTTCCCGCCGCCCCCCCCCCGACCTCGCCCTGCTGCCCTCCAGCTTGGGCAGCGCTGTCCCCCAGCACCAGCATATGCTTTTCTGACCACGTCCTTGTCCCCTGCCCCATGCTTGAGCCCCTGCCGCCTCCCCTGGCTGCTCTGGCTCCCGCCCTCCAGAAGGACCTGCTCTGGCTTCTGAAACACCCAGTGCAGCCGGCACCACTACCCAACACCTGGTTATGTGTTGTCCTGGTTCTGGGAGGGGCAGGTGGGTGGCCCCTTTCCACAGAGCCAGGTCCAGAGAGCTCTGAATAGTCCACCCCCCAGGCTGAGTCCAGGCTTCCTCCAGCAGCCTCCCTCCCCTCCCCTCCCCTCCAGACCCTCTCAGAGGGCCCTGCCCAGTCTCCTCGAGTGTGGGGGGCACGTCTCTGCTCCATGCCCTTCCCCTGTCCCACAGCCCACCATGCCCCAGCCTACACCTCTTACAGCCAGTGCCCCTAGGGATACCAGAAAGTCCTGGTGGCTTATACACGCCAATACCTATAAATGCCAGAGATTCTAGACTGGCCTGGGCTCCGGGTACCCCTGCAACTAGGACAGAGGGCCCTGCCTGCTCACCCCCCACATCCCCACAAGGCATAGTGCCCAGCCAGGCAGCTCCCAGGGGGCCTAGTCCAGTGGGCATCTCCCTTCAGGGCCATTTCTGGCCGTCACCGGGACAGAATGGCAACCCAGCCTGTGGGTCCCACCCACACCTCTCACTGCACCAGGGCCAGTGGGGGAGGGTGACCCTCCCTCTGCTCCCTGGAGTCCTGGGAGGCAGGGCTGGGAGCTGGGCGTGGGGTTGGGGGGACTGGAGCCGGGCATGGGGTTGGGGGGACTGCAGCCCCGCTTATCCCTCCTCCTGTCACAGACCCCAGAGTCCCAGGAGAAGGCAGCAGGAGCCCCATCCTGTGTGTCTGCCCCTCTGAAAGGCCTCCCCAGGGGAACACGTGACCCCGAGGCAGCACCAAAAAGCACTGGTCCACGCGGGAGGGCTCTGCACCCTCCTCTCTCACACTGTCTCCTCCTTGCTCCCACCTCCACTTCCAAAAAGTGTTTGAAGCATCTCTAATAATAAAAGCGTAACATGCTAATTAGACTGGACGACCTTCCAGACGAAGCTGGGGCTGCGAGGGAAGCCTGGGTCCCGGGTGCCAGGGGAAGGAAGGCCTACTCGTGCACGAATTTCGTGCATCGGGCCTCTGGTATTTAATAAGACCATTAGAGCAAGAAGAGGTCAAGAGTACCTGCTCAGACACAAGAGCCTCCCAAGACTGAAGCGGGAGGGGTTGGAGAGATGGAGCTGACACAGAGGGCGCAGACACGCAGGACTAGGCCCTGAGTCAGGGGCCCCTCAGCAAGTGTGGTCAGCAGCCATCCTGCGAGAAGCACCGCTGGGCTCCAGGCCAAGCGGAGGGGGAGGCGATGGGCAGCCCCCTCCAGCACCACCTCCCCCTCCCACCCAAGATGCACTGGCCCCAAGTGTTCTGGGGTTTCCCTGGAACTGAACAGGATTATGTTCCTAAGCCACAAACAATAGGAAAATCAGGTAGAGTCAGACCACCCTGGTTCTTCAAGAACCCCCAGCTGGCCCTGTCTGCCCCAGTGCCCAGGACTGGCCCCCCAGCACCATGACCTGCTCTGCCCACGAAGCATGAGCAGAGGGCTGCCCAGACCCTGCTGGGGGCATGGCACATTGGGCAGCGTCACTGCTATACCATCTGCACGGATGCTCTGGGAAGCACGGGAGCTAGCAAGCCCACAGCTGGCCCTCCACCCTCTGCACCAGGCCCTGTGGAGGGAGGGCATGATATGGCCGGCCCTAAAGGTCTAGGTCCCTTACCCAGCCTCGGACCAGACACCAGGCTTCCGAAGAGGATGGGAAGGTGGGGGCCAGAACCCTCTACCTGGAGGGCTCCCTAGAAGCCAGCCTCCCGCTCATACCAGCTGAACCCCGAGGCCCAGCTCAGCTGAACCCCGAGGGCCACCGCCGGGGCGGCATCTGTCCACAGCAGGCGCAGATCAAGGAGCGAAGGCTACGCAGTGCACATGGAAAGTCCCACCTTAATCCTCCAATTATCCTGCCCAAACCCTCTCCTTCCCCCAGAGGTAAACACGAAGCAAACCATCCACCAGAAATTAACATAGTTTCCTCCATTTTCTCCAGCTGATTTTTTCCAAACAGCGAATACTTAAAACAGAGCAAATGGACCATCAAACACTGACCTACGCTCCAAATGGGAGACTGGAGAGGGCCTGCTTGTGGCAGGCTGGCGCGGGGGGTGGGGTGGGGCGGGGGAGGGTGAAGGGGGGAGAGGGGGCGGCCCTGCAGGCACGTGTGCAGTGTGGGCAGCACATCCGCAGACCCACGGCCCTCCTGGAGCTGGGCCTGCCAGGCCGGTCGGGAGCCCAAGCCAAGGCACCTGTGTTCCCAGCTCCAAGCGAGTCCTGGGCACCAGCCCATCTTCCTCAACCCGGGTCTCTCCCTGGACCTTGCAGGAGCCCAGGGTGTCTAGGGCTTCTCTCCAGGTCAGAGTGCCACCCGGGTACTGAGGTGTTGGCTCGCCACAGTTCTCCTCAGAAAAAGGCACCCAAAGGGGCATGGGGCCTCCAGGAAAGGGCTCCCAGCCAGCCTTCTCCTGGCAAAGGTCCAGGGCATCCCTGCAGCGAGGGGCTTAGGTTTCCCACCCACAGAAACCCCTTAAAGCTGACAGGGAACCTGTACCCACCCCCATAGGAGGGCGTGACACTGCACAAAAAATAGGAACTTATGAATGAAAATACGTCCATTTGATTAGCAAGAGCCCTTTTCAATTAAGCCCCAGTCACCTCCGAGAGCCCCCCTATCTAAGGTGGGCCTGGCGTGTGGCCTCCACAGACTCACGCAGCCGTGGGACCTCAATTCTGGGAACATGGACTCGGAGGAGAGGGGGATGTGTGGAGGGCAGATCTGGGGGACAGAGAGGGCATCACGCAGGCCACACGGGCCCCAGCTTCCTCAGGCCAAGTCACGCTGGCCTGGATGACACCACCCCACAAGATCAACCTTCCTGGTGCCTCAGGTTCGGTTCTGTTACCAGGCAGACGGAGGTTCTGGTCCTCCCTCTGCTGCCTCCTAGCAGAGTGGCCTTGGGCCAGTTGTCTGAGCCTGTTTCCCCATCTATGCTGCAGGAATCTGCTGCTGTCTTGAGTACAAGAAGGAGAGACCTCCCCACAGTGGCTAAGGTCCCCGAGTGGGAGGCTACAGGGGGCATAGGCCTCAGCTCTGTGGTACTTGTAGAAATTCCATGTTGGGGTGGGGGGGTGGGGAGGAGAATTGCCCCAAATGCCTGAAAACAAAATTTAACTGGGAGTGAGAGAGAAACAAGCCCCAGCCCTTCATCGAATGCAAAGCCCAGATTAATCCATTTCTCTTGAATCAGAGAATCGGACTCGTCAGGCCTGGGCGGGAAGGGCCACCTGGTCTGAGATGATGGATACACACCCTGGACGACCTGCCCGTCAGCTCAGAATCTCGGGGCTCCAGGACAGGACAGCACCCCCAACCCCGTGAGAGGGCTCGACCCAGCTAACAGGCCGCACATCTAGACTCAAGGACAGTCTGCCCCCGTTGGTGCCAATTCAGCCCCTCAGGGGGCAGGTGCTCACTTCTGTGCTCTGAGCCACTGTTTCCCGGGCCTCAGAGTGAGGCCTCTGCAGAGAAAGCAGCCTTGGGTCTCAAGAGGCTCATCACATGCCCTTGACTCGGACGTCGGGTGCACACCATGGAAATTTTCTGACGTTATGTTTATGGCACTCAGAAAGTGACAAGACAGAGATGGCTGTACGTCCCAGCCGGGAGCAGCCCTGACGCCTGGCAGGTGCCTGCCCGGGCACTGCTTCCCCAGAGGGTCCCCCAGGTACAGCAGCCCCTCCACTGCCCCCCAACTCCTCCTGCCACAGTCCCCACCCGCCATCACTTCTCAGCCGCCTCCCTGCCTGGCACCCGGAACTATGGTGGGGAGGACCCTCTGTCCTCGGAGCTCTGTGCCCTCCATCAAGACCCCGCAGACATGCAGGACCCACACGGCCAGCAAACATGCGCCTCCCTGACTGCCCGGCACCCCCTCTGCCAGGCAGGGGTCCTGCTCTGCCTACCCAGTCCCTGGGGCGTGGGCTCCTGCGACGTGAGCCCCCTGCGTGCAAACTGCCACAGCCAACAGGGCCCCACCTCAGATCCCCGCACGGCCCACGCCCCTCGCCACCGCTGGCCCAGGCCTACCTGTTGGGATTGTAGTCAAGCGCGCCCACCTCCTCACTGGCCTGCAGCAGGTCCAGGATGCCCGCGGCCGAGCCCCCGCCGTCCTTCTTCACTTTGGCGTTGCGGGTGGGCTTGGTGTCCGTGTCGATTCGCAGGGAGCCCTCATCCGAGGAGGAGTCGTCGCTCGGCTGTGGGGATGGGGAGCCGGTCAGAACAGAGCTGGGGGGAGCGACAGGACTACCGTTCCCCTTGACAAAAAAAAGAAGTTTTTAAAAATTAAAAAATAAAATAAGGAAAAATAAAAAATGTAAGATCCCAACCTCTGATGAGCATGTGGGGCTGGCTGGCCGGACGCCCCGGGCGGTTACTGGGGTTTTCCATTGGGACTGTGGAGCCTGCCCGCAAAGGACCTGGCGCCATCCTGCCCAGCACTGTTTCCCAGAGGAACCCTGGGCCCCAAGACCGTCTGCAGGAGCCCCGGCATTGAGCACAGGCACAAAGGAGCCAGCGCGGTCAGGTGAGGAGCAGACAGGAGGGATCCCCGCACTCAAGGCTCCAGTTACCAGTCCTAGCAGGAGGCTCTGAGGGGAAACTCCAGGCTCCCCGGGCAGCAGGGGAGATGCCCATGCAGACCCCCAGGCTCACTGGAGACAGCCGCCACCTCGTGGTTGGATGAGGCCTTACCAGTCGTCTAACTTAATCCCCCAGCAGGTCCAGCCCTGCTCTGCACCCGATCCTCAGGGTCAATGAGGCATCGTCTTCATGGCATCTGGCTGGGCGCTCCTGAGGCCCACCCCTCGCACAGACCTGCAGACCCTCCACACCCCGCACCTGCTCTCCCCCGTTCTGGGCAAGGCCTTGGGCTCACATCCCCACTGCTGGCGCCCAGCCAGCCTCCCCACAAAAACTCCAAGAAGAGGATGGCACATGAAGACACTCGGCTGCACCCCAAGCAGAAAGCGCACGAGCCACAGCCACGGGGTCTCCGAAGGAGCTCACCTTGTAGAGCGCCGAGTCCAGCTTTGGCTTCGTAACAGGTGTGGGCAGCGGCTCCTTCCTGTCCAGTAAGACTGAGACCAAAGCAGACGGGAGTTGGTGGTGGCTTTGAGAGGATTGTTCTGGCCAGCCATGCCTGACACCCCCCCCTCTGCAGGATGGCCCTACAGGGCTGGGTCTGCCCCTCCACAGGTCCCCCCAACTTACAGGACAGGTCTCTCTTCGGGGCATTCTTCTTCCTCCTGATGGGAAACTCATCAATCTTGAGCTCCCCGTCATCCGACACGTACTCATACTCGTCCCGGACGGGCTGGGGCTTGTCCTCCTTGAAGTTCTGCAAGGCCCCAAACACCCCTGGGCTCGGCTGCGGCTTGAGGGCCTTGGAGCTGGGACAGAAGTGGACTGGTCAGTGGGGGTCCACATGGTCCAGCCAGTGCCCCACCACTCTGTCACGGGCGCAGAGGGTCAGCAGTCATGCTGAACACTGCCCAATCCCACGGCTCCCTCCCAGACGCCATGGGCCGGCGAGGACAGCGCACAGCTCACGAGGTATGGCCTGGCCCTCCCCGCCCACGCAAGGCCTCTCCTTGAGCTGTCTCAGGGTGTGCCCTGCACGGCCCCACCCTGGCCACTGGACCAGCATGGCCTTCCTTCTGCCCGCCCCGCAAGCTCTGGCCGCAGCCTCCCACTGGCTCGGGCCTAGGGAGACAGAGGCTGGGCTACAGCTCTAATTCCCAACTGAACACCACACACACACAGAGGTGTGATGAGGTTACAGAGTCACGTCCACCTTCCTCTCCGCACTTCTAAACGCTCTACAGCATGGTGGGTCCCAGAGTGAATGCGTTCAGAAGCTCTCCAGGACGAGCTCAGAGCCATGAGGTCAGGGCGACAGGGCCGCAGACCAGACCCTTCCCACCTGCTCACCGAGCGTCCTCGGCACGTGGCCATGAGTTCTTGGGAATAACGGGCCTGCCTACCCGCTCGGCCTGGTCACCAGGTGCCGGCCCCGCCCCACTGCTCCGCCACCTGGCGTGGCTTTCTCCTCCCATTTCGCAGGTGAGGAAACAGGCCCACCACAGAAAAGGGGCCCATTCTGCTGCGATGAATCTGCTTCCTGGCTTCGGGGTATCCAACCTGGACTTGACTCAGCACGCAACCTGTGGGCCCGCAGCCGGTGAGACTTCTCAGGGGGCATGAAGCCCGTCCGTACACCTGGCACTGGGCTGGGCTGGCATGCTGTCAGCAG